ATGGGAACTCCGAAGTTAAGCGAGTAGCGTGCGAGAGCATTCCCAGGATAGGTGACCCATCGGAAGTTCTCGTGTGAGTTCCCAAAAACAAAACCGTGAGGGCATGGTCGGGGCCCAAAGCGGACAATATCGTGCTACGGTGGTGGAGCGGGCCCGGGAAGTCGTCCCGCCCGCGCCGGGATGTGACAAACGATCTTGCAAGATCCGTTTATACTACAATAACCTCGTTATTCTTGCAAGCTTTATAGGAGTTTTTAACCTTTCGCATGTGTGGTAAAATCCCTATCAAGAAAATGGCATCGCTGCCGGGGATTATTTAAAATAATTCGTTCTAATCAGATTTTGAGTTAGTTATTGCTGTGTGTGTGTATATATATAATTAATTTTCTTTTTTTTTTTTAACAGATTACTGCAATACAATGCAGATTACAGAGATAATATGTGCATGGTTAGCACCCATTTAGCAGTGCAGAAATTGTTTCCTTTTGATCCAGAACCTGAGCAGACTTTAAAGAAGAGATGCAGGGAGGAAAATTTGCAATGGGTTCCTTCACTGCAGGGGACTTTTCTGCAATCTTTATGTTTCGGGGATCTGCACAGTAAAGAAACAATGGCTTTTGTTATCCCAGAGGCTGGTGACCCTTTGGGTGATTCTTTAACAGCTCATGCCACTAACATTCCAAGTTGCATTACTTATCCGGAAGTTGAGGAAGGGTCTACATTCGAAACAAAGCAGCATATGTTGAATATTCTACTTGCATTTCATGGATTATCAACTGACGATCCTAACATGCACATTGCAGAATTTTTAATAGGATGCAAGAATATTTTGATGACAGGATTTTCAACCGAATCTATTAAGCTCTGTTTATTTCCTTACACTTTGAAAGATCACGCAAAGAGATGGTTCCTCACACTTCCATCTGGAAGCATTAGCAATTGGGCCCAACTCAGTGAAAAATTCTTAAGCAAGTATTATCCAGCTTCAAAGACTCTTGACATGAGAACTCAAATTTTATCTTTTGCCCAAAAATCAAATGAAGAGTTTCATGAGGCGTGGGAATAGTTCAAAGAGTTGAGAAAATTTCCGCATTCCAATATTGACAGTACTAATCAAATGCATATATTTTTCAAACGGTTAAATATGACTACAAAAACTCTTGTCAATGCTTCATGCGGAGCTTCATACAAAGAGAAAAATGCACAAGAAGCTTGTTTATTATTTGAAAAAATGGTAGCAGATACATAACAATGGGCAGTAGAGCAGCTGCATTCTAGGTTTGTTTTTTGAGATGTCTAATGGGTCTAATATGTGTTAGAACAAATTGAAAAAATGGAGAAAAGGCTTGATGCGAAATTTGACATGCTGTTACAAAGAATTCCAAATTCACAAGTTGCTGTACAGCACCACCTACCAGCTACCTACAACATTTACAGCATGACAACCCATGATTTTTTTAGTTGTCCACATAAAGATGCTTATCTGGAGTTTGCAGCAGAACAGGTTAATGCATTTAATAATTTTCAACGTCCAAGAAATGACCAGTATTCAAATTTTTACAACCCGAGTTGGAGAGATCATCCTAATTTAAGGTGGGATAGAGATCAGCATGCTAAACCATAATTTCAACAACAGGAACAACAATTTGCTGCACCTAAGGTTGCTTGGGAGGTTGTAATTGAAAAATTAGCAAATACTACCAGTCAAGAAATCAAAATCTGTAGGCAACAAAGAAAAATATGGAAAAACAAATTAGGTAAATTGCGTTGCAAGTTTCAGAAAAAGCACTGGGTATATTTCCTTAGCCGAACTAAACCAAATCCAATGGGAGGTGCGGGTTGTAAGGTAGTTAGAGTTTTACATTTTGGTAAAAGATATGACAACAGAGATGAAAATTGTGTTGGTAATTCGCAGGCAGCATCATAACCAAAAACAGATTCAGGAAATTTTGCAAAATCTATATTTTTGCAGATTCTGCAATTTCTGCAGATTCTACATGGCCTTTGGACAGATTCAAAAACAGTGCAGAAATTGCTGCAGAAACTGCAAAACTTGTTTATGTGCCTCTAATGCCTTATCCCGAAAGGTTGAAGCCCAAAGTTAAAGATCAACAGTTGACAAATTTTATGAGGACTTTGGCCAAAGTTCAAATTAATCTTCTGTTGATTAATGCAATTAGGAACATTCCATCTTATGCCAAGGTTTTTAAGGATGTACGCACAAAGCAAAAGAAGCTCGTGCATTTTGAAAAAAGTGATTATAACAGAACAATGCAGCGTAGCTTTATTACACAAATTGCCTCCAAAGAAAACAAGATCCATGGAGTTCTAAAATTTCATGCACAATTGGAAATTCAAATTTTAAACGTGCTTTAATTGATTTAGGCCCTAGTATTAATTTAATACCTTTTTTCTGTTTTTCAGAGACTAGGACAAGGAGAAATTAAGCCTACGTCAGTTTTTTTTTTGCAATTAGGAGACCGTTTAGTTGCTTATCCTAGGGGAATTATTGAAGACCTCATTATCAAAGTGGATAATCTTTATCTTCTTGCAGATTTTGTGGTTTTGGATATGAATGAAGATATGCAAACACCAATTATTCTAGGACGTCCTTTCATGGCAACTGCACGAACTTTAATTGATGTAGAGGCTAGAACCCTTACACTTAGAGTGCAAGATCAATCTGTTGTTTTCAGTTTATTTGATGCCACTAAAAGGCCAACTGATGTGCAAGATTGTATGTGTGTTGACGTGTTGGACAGCATCATGCATGCTGAAATTATGCCCTGTTTGACAGTTGATCCATTGTTAAACATGTTGCATGGGTTTGAGAATAAAAACACCGAAGATGAAGAGTCTTCTAAGTATGTTTCAACTTTAGAAAGTGTCCATTTTCAATACCCACGTTGGAAGCACGTTTTTGAGAGTTTTGGGGAATCGAAAAAACCATTTCAGCCACCTAAATTGGAGTTAAAATTGCTACCATAACATTTGAAATATGCTTATTTGGGTGTAGATTCTTCGCTGCCAGTTATTATTGCTCCTGATTTATCACCAATAGAAGAAGAAAAGTTGCTGCGCATTTTAAGAAATTATCAAGATGCAATTGGGGACTATAGCAGACATTAAAGGGATCAGCCCTACAATTTGCATGCACAGAATTTTGATGGAAGGAGTAAAGCCCGCCATTGATACTCAATGTCGTTTGAACCCAATTATGAAAGAAATTGTTCGTAATGAAGTTATGAAGCTTTTAGATGTTACGATGATCTACCCAATTTCAGATAGTAAGTGGGTTAATCCAACTCAAGTGGTGCCCAAACGTTCTGGAATTACAGTTGTGAAGAATGATAATAATGAACTTGTGCCTACACATTTAACTACTAGGTGGCGTATGTGTGTTGATTACAGAAAGATCAATGCAGGTACTAGAAAATATCATTTTCCATTGCCTTTCACTGATCAAATGTTAGAAAGGTTGGCTGGTCGTGCTTTCTATTGTTTCTTGGATATGAAACTCATAACATGAAAGGTATGTATGTCCCAAAATCACAGAGCCGCCATCATCAGAGGTCGCACCTCCATTTCCCGAACGGCGATTGATGAGTCAATTTCATATTATATATTTTACCCTATTCTTAGTATGTTTTGGTAATTATTTTAATAGAATTTTGATACTTTGATTTATATTTTTAATATAGGACATCTGACTTCTTCTGGAGCAAAACATGATCAAACGGACAAATTTTGAAGTGATTCAAATTGGAGGACGTTTGTGTGTCTCTTGGCGTGTTCGTGTCAAAATTTGGAATTTTTCTACCAAACAGTTATTTTCTAGCGACAAAATAAAAGAGCAGTGAGAAGTGCTGGAAAATGACATTTTTGGGCTTAAATTGCGTTTTTGGAGCCCGATATGACATTTGATGGGCTTGTGGCCTTCTTGAGAAGTATTCAGAATATTCCAAACCTTAAATCCAGCTATATTGGGTCGGTTTTGGAGCAGTTTAGGGATCCAAAACGTGGCTGTTCAGATTTTAAGCGAATTTTATCATTTAATTTATGGTTATATTTCCTATTTTATTTTAGTATTTCATTTCCTAGTTGGATTGGAAGACCTTTGTTTTAGGAGGACTTAATTTGGGCAAACATTTATGTCCTACACTGTTAACTTTCTTTAATGTTTGCTCTGGATTTTACAGGTTCTTTTTAAAGTTTGGCACTAAATTGCTCTTCTTTTCTTGGGGTGCAAGGAAACAGAGAAGAGAAAGAATCAAAGTCTGGATTTATCAAAAACTTTGTAGATATTCCATGCATTTTGCAACTAGAATCTTTGGGTAGATACTTAACCTTTTAATCAAAGCCTATATATCCCAATAGGTTTTGTAAGTGGTAAAAGATGTCAACTATGCTTTACTTGATGAAAAAATAGAAATTGCATGTGTGTATTATGAGAAGAAGCGGAGAGCAATATGTCTCAGTTTTGGAATGTATTGGAATCAAAGAAACTAACTCAAGGTGCTAACTTTGAATTTTCCTGAAAGATCACTTATTTTTTTATTAATTATTTTAGACGTAAGAATTCTCCATGCTTTATCTGGTAGTTGAAAATATAAATTTGGGACTTCTTCCATTTAGTTATTTGGGAGTTTGAATTTATAAATGTAGATTTGTGTTTGTTTGCCCAGCTGCTATTTCAAAGTGGGAGGAGACATTGTGGATTAATAATAGGAAATATGAAGCTATGTTGTGCTGGGAAATGCTTAAACTGCTTGCGCATTATGCACTCCGGACCAAAATGAGGCAAAGGTTCCAAAAGATGTTGCAGTGCTTCCAGAAAGCTTTAAATGAGGTACTTCCACTTACAAATCTCAAAGAAACTATATTGTTTTTTCAACTTTCAATGTGTAATAAGGAGGGTAGTGAGATTGACTGCATAATTTGTAATTTGGGTTTAGTGACTTGTAAAATTGCAATTTCAAAAATCTTAAATTACAGTTTAGTTATCCATTTTTGGAATAACTGGGCAAAGTAATTGATAGATGTAATGCTATTTGAAAATTGTTATTACTGTGATTGTGCAATGCTATCTGAATCATGTCCTCATTGAGAAGCATATTGCTGGGTTTGAGGTTGTAATGAACTATTCGTGTCTCACAATGATGATGGAGATAATCCAACGCCAGGGCAACATCATTAACAATATTCAACCTCTCAGAAAATGTTAAAGCTCCTTGGCCTCTCATTTGGCTTACCAATTGTAGAGTTGGATGCAACCATTCCTCAAAGCTCCCATTAACCATGAACTCATAAATTAAGGCCTTGAAATTGTGACGGTGATAATCGAAACCAGAACATGCTGAGAGTATCTTGATAAGATTACGGTGTCTAATATTTCTCAAAGCCTCACACTTAGAAATAAAACTTTTGTAAGCTCGGAGACGGACGAGGTTGAGTACTTTGACAGCAATTGTTGTTTCACCTTGCTCAAGAACTCCTTCATAAACAGATCCAAAACTGCCCATACCAATCAAGTTGACAGAGGAAAATCCATCAGTAGCTTTGAGAAGACTTTTGGGAAGTAAACCAGTCAAATGTTTTCTAGAAAAATCCAAAGCAACATATGAAGACGACTCACCAATCACTTTATGGGGTAATGTTACCGCTCAAATTGTTATCAGCAAGTGTTAACATCCCCATGTTCCGACACTCGGCTAAACTTGAGGGAATATTGCCTTGAAGTTTGTTGGCTTGTAAACGTAATATAAATAGTTCACTTAAATTCCCAAAAGAGGGTGGGATATAGCCAGAGAGACTGTTAAAACCCAAATCTAATTCATATAACCTCCGAAGCTTTCCAACGTCGGGTGGGATGCTTTCTGAAAATTGGTTCTTGGCAAAACAAATGCTCTCCAGGTTAGCCAGATTTCCAATCCCATGGGGGATTCTTCCTGATACTTTATTGTATTCTGCATATAAGTATACAAGAGAAGAAGACAAGTTTGCTATGCATTGAGGTAGAATACCCCCAAAATTGTTTGTATCGATTAGCAGTCGCAATAAATGGGTGGCATTAGTCAAATCGCATTGAAAGCTCTAGTCACCATTTCCCCCACTTCCAAGGTTATTGTAAGAAAGGTTTATGGTATCTAGCTTACACAGATTTTTCAAAGAGGGGACTTTTCCATGAATATTGTTGTTTACCACCGTATAAGTATTTAGATTTGAGGCGTTAGATAATGTAACAGGTATAGTTCCACTGTTCTACTAAATTGGGTGCTGCCGATGCCAAAATACTCGAGATTTGGAAAGAGAATACCTAAGTCCGGATACTCCCATAAAAATCATTAGCGGTTGCTGAAAGCAACTCAAAAGATGATGAATTGGCAAAAGAGTTGGGGGTACTTCCCGTGAGTTTGTTGGAGAGTACTGAAATTATTCTTAACTTTGACAAAAGTGCCAAGCTCCTCGGGAAGTTTTCCTACCAGAAAATTCCCACCAAAAGCAATTATGGAGAGTTGGGAGCAACGCGATAAGTTTGAGGGAATTTCACCGGTCAGTGAATTATTCTCACAAACTATATCTTGCATTCTTGGGAAACGGCCAATTTCTGGAGGAATTTTGTGCCTGAAGTTATTGTTGGTGAGAGAAAGTACTCTCAAAAAACTCAAATTCCCAACATGTGGTGACAGAGATCCTGAAAGTTTGAAGCACTCCAGGTTGAACACTGTAACCCTCTTGTGATGACGACCACACGTGACACCACGCCAATTGCAAAAATGGTTGGTTTCATTCCATGAAGTCAAGGCTTCAACAGGGTCATTGGTTATCCTCGCCTTGATTTCAAGCAACGCCAGTCGATCTGTCTCATTTCCACTCAATCTCAAGGCAAGGCATGACTGACAAATAAGGACATGAAAGCAAAATTCAAATGAACTTGTTCATCCCCATAAGTGATTGCTACTTGTTACAGCTGCTTTGAGAAAAACACGTCTAATAAGCAGCATACGTTAAGGCAAATTATTTTGTATCTATTTTCTCGTTCAGATTACAAGTTTAAGTTAGAGAAAGTATATGCTCCATTCAAGGAAAAACTCAGAGGCTGCTAAATATATTGAAATTGAAAGGGACAAGCTACAACGCCATTTTCAAGTAAAGGAAGCAGCAAAAGCATGCTGCTAAAGCATTAGGTAATCTTTCAACCAAAAAGCATTAGATAATCAACCTATGAATAAGTTATTTATTTGAATCTTTCTAGGGGTTCTTCATTTTTGTTCACTTCGTAATGTCTTGTTACTGTTTATAGGGCTGGGGTTGTTTGAGACTGATTCCGTCGTAAGCACTTCTTAGGTGGAAAAGGCAGGCTAAATTTTATTTCAAATTATGCAGGACAGACCAATCTTGAACATCTGATGACATTTCGTAATGCTCTCTAAAATATGGGAGGAAAGTAGCGGCTAGAAAAATCTTTGAACTCATAGGTTAGTAGAAGTGCAACATTGTGAACAAGCGTAACCAACTGAAAGTCCTCTTGCAAGACAATCATCAACCATACTAGAATGATTTCAGTGGTTACGGAAACATTTGCAGCTTTTTATTGATCAAACAAATATGAAAACCTCTTTCGTTATTGATACAACGAAACAATTTGCATTACATGCTATGGAGACCAGAGCACAAAACAGTAGGATTTTATTCACATATTCTACTTACTAGCTTGAAGTTTGTTTCTTATCCGACACATCTTCGCCAAAGCATCACTAATGTTCAACCTTTCTCTTGGCAACTCTGCAGAACAAGCAACACCAACTTCTAAAACTGAAATCAAGCTATCCCGAATATTTATGCAAGCCCTTGTATCCTCATTACGACTATCGTCATTGCACATGTCCCCTTCCCCTTTTTCTTGAACGATAACAGGATCTGCAACATGTTCCATCTTATTAGGCAGAGCAGCCTTGACAAAGTTATGAAGGTTTACACTTCCCTGAAACATCTCATCTGTCGGTCTTTTCCCCGTGAACAATTCCAGTAGCAGAATGCCGTAACCATACACATCGCCTTGTGTCCAGACTTCATTTCCCATGCCATACTCTGCATTTGCACAATTCAAAACAACAGATTATTGTATTTCTCAGTAAGTTCTCTCAAAGCGAAATTCTCATGCTTTAAACTATTAAATTAATTAACGACTTAGAGATTTAGGACATCTTGTATTAAAGAGTATTCACCTGGAGGAGTATAACCGATTGTTCCTTTTACTCCACGGGTGCTCGATTGATTTGTAGAACAACTATCTTGGGGTTTGAGAAGGAACCTTACCAACCCAAAGTCGCCTACATGTCCAATCATATCATCATTCAGAAGAACATTGCTTGGCTTGAGATCGCAGTGAACTATTGGCGTTTCACATTGATGATGGAGATAATCCAATGCCATAGCAATATCAATCGAAATGTTCAACCTTTGTGAAAAATTTAGAGTCCTTGGTCTCTCATTTGTCTCACCAACTGTGGGAGCCAGATGCAACCAGTCATCTAAGGTCCCATTAACCATGAACTCATAAACCAGGGCCTTGAAATCATTACCATGATAATCAACACCAGAACATGCAGACAGTACCTTCACAAGATTACGGTGTCTGATGTTTCTCAAGGCCTCACACTCAGCAATGAAGCTTTTGGAAGCTCCAGGATTAACAAGGTTCAGTACCTTGACAGCAACTGTTGTTTCGCCTTCGTCAAGTACTCCTTTGTACACAGAACCAAAACTTCCCGCACCAATCAAATTGGAAGAGGAGAATCCATTAGTAGCTTTTAGAAGACTTTGGTAAGACACCCTAAGAAAGTTTTCTTTATCACTGGAAGTACGATCCTTTCTTTCCCTATGCACGCAACAATGGTACATAAAAGCAGATGCAAATGTGACTCCAAAAAGGGCAGAAACGATGGAGATTATCAGTTTCAAGGTCAGGCTCAATCCTACCTTTTTGAGTTTTTCACGCTTGCATTTTGGCAATTGAAATTCAAGTATGCCCCCGCAAAGTTCTCTATTGCCTTTAACAGATGTTGCTGTTGCATTCTTAAAAACTCCTTCGATTGGCACCATCCCCTCCAACATATTATAAGATAGATTCAAAGATTGCAGAAGTACAAAACTCTCTAGGAATTCCGGAATCTTGCCAGACAAGTTGTTGTGAGAAAGATTTAATTCTCGAACCCCCCTCAGAGAAGCCAAAGACAATGGAATTGTTTCTTGAAAAAGATTTCCTTGCAGGTATATATATTCTAATTTTATACAGCTACCAAGACCTGACGGTATCTGACCAGAAAACATATTTTCGGAAACATCTAAGTACTCCAGATTTATCAGTTTTCCTACTTCTTGTGGAAATGGACCGGTGAAACGATTTTGAGATAAATCTAATGAAATATATGATGACGACAGACCAATGACTCTCGGTGAAATGTTACCGCTGAGATTGTTGTTTGTAACGGACAAGACTTGCAAATTGTGACACTCTGCTAAACTTAAAGGTAAATTACCTTGAAGCTTATTTTGGTCAAAATATAATTTAGTTAAACGACTTAAATTTCCGAAAGAGGAAGGAATTTCCCCTGACAGAGAATTTATAGCTAAATCTAATAAATATAAATTTTGAAGCTTTCCTAGATCAGAAGGGATTTCACCCGAAAATTGGTTCATAGACAGATACAAGCTCTCCAAATTAACAAGATTTCCAATTCCATTTGGGATGCTTCCTACTATTTTATTGTCACTTGCATAGAAAACTTGAAGAGAAGCAGACAAGTTGGCTATGCATTGGGGTAATATACCCCCAAAATTGTTCATATTTAGGTTCAATCTTTTTAGTTTCGTGGCGTTAGACAAATCACAGATAAAGCTCAAGTCATTAGTTCCGCCACTTCCAAGATCGTTCGAAGTTAGAACAAATCTCTCAAGCCTGTGTAAACTTTCCAAAGAAGGTACATTTCCGTGTAGGTTGTTTCCTAGCATTGACAGATGACCTAGATTTGAGGCATTGGACAGTGAAACAGGGATTGATCCACTAAATTGGTTCAAAGCAATATCAAAATATTGGAGACGTGGAGTAAAAATACCCAAGTTGAAGGGCAAAGTACCTTCGATTTCATTCAGTTGTATTGAAAACCTTATGAGAGAAGATAGATTGAAGATGGAGGGTGGGATCATGCCAGAAAGCGAATTGTCTGCCAACCCAATTTCGGTTAACTTTGTCAGTTGGCCCAAAATATCCGGAATACTCCCGCTCAAAGTATTAGAAGATGCAGAAAGCACTTCGAGAGATGATAAGTTGCTGAAGGAGTAAGGGACGCTTCCTCTAAGCTTGTTCCAGCTAAGTACAAGTACTCGTAGTTTTGACAAAGTTCCCAGCTCTTCTGGAATTCCTCCTACCAGCAAATTGTTGCCGAGATCGATTTCGAGGAGTCGCGAGCAAGCTGATAAGTTCGAGGGAATATCCCCCCCAAGTGAATTATTGTTCAATCGTAACTCTTGCAATCTGCGGAGACGGCCAATCTCTGTTGGGATTTCTTGGCCAAAGCTATTGTTTTGGAGATTAATGACTCTCAGAAAACTCAGATTCCCAATATGTGGTGGTATGGATCCTGCAAGTTTCAAGGACTCAAGATTCAATCCGGTGGCCCTCTGGTGACGATTACCACATGTGACACCACGCCATTGGCAAAAGTGGATGGTTTCATTCCATGAACTCATGACTCCAAAAGGGTCCTTGGTTATCCTAGCCTTGATTTCAAGCAAGGCCAGACTATCCGTCTCATTGTTTTCGGCATCAAAGGAAAAACCAAGACATGAGTTAAGAACAAAACCATGCATGCACAACAATGAGAAAAACGCAAGTACCGACAGTGATGCGAAGAACTTGTCGATCCCCATCAACGAAATTTTGGGTAAGCAGTGTTGTTTGTCTTTGTCTAGGTAGCAGATTGAGAAGAATTTATGTAGTTTATAAGCATCGGCAACTCAGTTAAATAATTCATTCAATGCTGTACAGCTATGCATGTTCACATGCAAACTGATCGTCACCTACCCGTCCGCATTTAAACATATGGGCTCGAGCAGTGTATCAAGCTTGACCAGATATTGCGTGTGGGGGAAACTTTTTCGTCTTATGAGCAAGTTGCAGTGTCCCATAATAAAAAATTGACGAGGATATCATATTGAATGACTCGCTCATGAGTCATGACTCATGAGATGAATCACATACAAAATCGTTCAAAGTCTATCTCGATATATGCTCATGTCATGCATCGGGATCAATACTCACATGTGAGGTACGTACCATCTTCACTTCTCGACCTTCATTCCGTTCACATGACTGATACCATGTTCAACTATTCCTCTCTCCCTATCTTGCCATTCGATCAGATATGCGGGTGCCTGGCTTTTCCATTTTATATTTGGGTTATCAATTTGTATCTACGGTAGAATTCTCTCCCTTAAGCATCGGCAACTCAGTTAAATAATTCATTCAATGTTGTACAGCCATGCATGTTCACATGCAAACTGATCGTCACCTACCCATCCACATTTAAACATATGGGCTCGAGCAAGCTGCAGTGTATCAAGCTTGACCAGATATTGCGTGTGGGGGAAACTTTTTTGTCTTATGAGCAAGTTGTAGTGTAGCAAGTTGCAGTGTTCCATAATAAAAAATTGACGAGGATATCATATTGAATGACTCGCTCATGAGTCATGACTCATGAGATGAATCACATACAAAATCGTTCAAAGTCTATCTCGATATATGCTCATGTCTGCATCGGGGTCAATACTGACATGTGAGGTACGTACCATCTTCGCTTCTCGACCTTCATTCCGTTCACATGACTGATACCATGTTCAACTATTCCTCTCTCCCTATCTTGCCATTCGATCAGATATACGGGTCCCTGGCTTTTCCATTTTATTTTTGGGTTATCAATTTGTATCTACGGTAGAATTCTCTCCCTTAAATAAATAAAAAAAATTAAAAAAAGAAAAAGAAATGATAACAAAATGGTTTTGTGTCTGACCAACACATAACGCCTATTAGAACCTTAATCACAAAATAAAAACACCTACAAGAAATGAAATGGCTTCTATCGTCTTCTTTCTTCTATTCCTCTTCCTCTTCCAATGTCGAAGAAGCCGCTGCTTCTTCTCCGTGTCTGTCCGCTGCAAAAGAAAAAGGAAACAGGAAAAAATCTATTTAATCTCAACCATAAAATCTCATTAAAATCAATCCAATGGCTAAGAGCGTGATCCCCATTTTCTTTGAAAATAAGATAATTTGATATGAATCCAATTTTTTGAGCCACTTTTGATAATAGTCCACTTATATTCCGGTCAGTTTACTTTCATTCCTATAAATTTTTTACCCTTTGTATTATCCCTTAATTTTAAGATTTGCCCCTTTTTCAATTACTGTGATAATTATCTCCTAATCTTTCTTCTGACTTGTATAATAAATATCTCCTAATTATCTTCTGACTTGTACAAATAATTATCTCTTAATACTTTGTATAATAAATATCTCCTACTTTTTCAATTATTGTGATAATTATCTCCTAATACTTTGTATAATAAATATCCCTTTTTACTTATCACACATTGACACACTCCGACCCGGAATTTCCATTTGGAATCCGAATCGAGCTGTGTTGGCTAACACCTAGAGGGTGACGAAGCCATAAAGTGTAGTGATGTGGAAAATGTGAATAAATTTAAACCTAAAAGTGCCTAAATATAAGAGTGTGCTTTTGAGCGGCAATGAACTCATTTCACACGTGATGTTAGGGCATAAATAAAGTAGAGTAAAGTAGGATGAGAATTATACCATCGAAGATAACCACCTATACCAAGATTTGCCAAGAATCCTTGTTGATACGGAAGCTCCGCTAATAAAACCTGAAAGGGTGAAAAACAAGGGCGAGTGGGTCTAAAAATAAAGTTTTATAAAAACCTTTTCAAAAACAAAATAACCCCTTGCCGTAATACAACTATAGTTTCCAAAATATACATACTACGCATAGTAAGAAAATACTTACCGTAGCTTGCAAAATCTCAAGGATTCAATACGGCACAATATTTCGTAAGTGAGCACATGCTGTTGGTAATCCCATAATCTTTGTAAGATCCCACATCGCCCAAGGGTGAAGATCTTGTAAGCCTTATATGTATATTCCCATCTTTACCTAGCACAAGGCATTTTGGGAGCTCACTGGCTTCGGAGTTCATCGGAACTCCGAAGTTAAGTGAATAGCCCGCGAGAGCAATCCCATGATGGGTAACCCACTGGGAAGTTCTCATGTGAGTTCTCAGAAACAAAACCGTGAGGGCATGGTAGGGGCCCAAAGCGGGCAATATCGTGTTACAGTGGAGTCGAGCCTGGGATGTGGTGGGGGCCCAAGCCGGGATGTGACAATCTGGCATAAGCAAACATATCATATCGAATACTCATCGACACATGCTGACACACGAGTTCATGCAGAAATATTCTGACATGAACAAGATTGGGTGTAACAATAATATACGCTCTAGTACTACAATCACGTGAAGACCGGCCTTTACACATCACATACGAGTCCTAATTGCCTGTAGCAATCTAGGATAGGACTGGCACCTAGAATGGATCTAAAGTGAGCGAACGATGCGATGTGCATATACACGTGAAGATCTGGCCTTGACCCGGGCGAGTACTAACACCGATACAGCAACGATGAGTAGATAACGTAAACAAAATCTTACAACAATAAATCAATAACTTACGCCGACATAATACTATTCACTACCGTAAATATAAATAAGGCATCCCTTGACAATATGCATATCGGCGCATCCCATAGGATTTAGGATAATTTCGTAAATTTCGTTATTTCACTAATTCTTATAAACATTAGTCTAATCTAGGCATACGTAGGAAGTTCTTTTTCAAATGTATAAATGGAAACTAAATAATATAATATTTAAAAGTAAAGACCCACTCACAAATACTTGCGATGCCACATCTTTTCGAGCTGGGAAAACCAGAGTCTCTGATTGTAATCACACCTAAGCATAATATTGGGGACCGTTATTAAAACTCAACTAAAATAACTAAATTTGGGAAAACGAAGTGCGGATTCGGAATTAGCGCGTCGAAATACGCTAAGAAAGGTCTTGAGCAATTTTCGTAAAAAGTCAACAAAAAGTCAACAGTCAACCTAGGCGCCCTAGTGGTCGACTATGTTAAAACTTCAGAATTTCACTAAATAGATGTCAAAAACGAACTTAGGCATCGAAATTAGCCTAGGAAGGTTTCCGAAAAACTTCCGAAAAGTCAACATAAGGAATATTCCAAAGAATATTCTTGATCCACATTGGCGATAGGTCGGGCCAAATCTCAAGTTCGGATCCAGATCTGGGTTGCGGATCTAGTCTTAGGATACTTGTTTTTTTCTCTCAGGTCAGGTTGACCCATTTAGACAAACGGGTCACACAACACCTGTCGGACCCAACAAGGAGAAAGCCGAAATCTGGGCTTGATTCCCAGAGCTCCGATTAAGCTCAAATCTTCACTTTTTTTCAGCAATCAATATATCAAATTGAAGCTAAGGGAAAAGAGAACAAGGTTTTACCAACATGAAGCCTAGTCGTGGCCGGAAAGTGACCAAAAAAGCCTATAACCACACGGGTCCTTCGCCGGAAAACTAGGGAACTTCCCCACATGTTGCTTCCTGCATCCAAACATCACCAAAATCCCTCAAATTTATCCTAACCATACTACAAAACATGATCTATGAAGATTTTGGGGTTTTCGATGCCCACCTTATCGGAAAAGTTAGTAACTCATCGAGAAAATTGACGTCGGTAGTGGTCACAGTGCTTCTGTGCCGTGAGCACAGAGAAGGTGACGAGACAGACATTTGAGATATAGAGAGTGACATGAGAGAGACACGTGGCGGTTAGAGGTGTAGCTTGCCGAAAAATGTGGAGTCGATGTTTGGGTTCAAGTTTGTAAGCTATGGTCTCAATCTAGGCTCGGGTTTGTGTATCCCACCTCAATCTCCTGAAAAAGTTAGTGAAGGTGGTGCTACAGTCTCATGGCATGGCTTCGACGGAGATGGCAGCAGGTGGTGTCGGTGGTTAAACTCGTAGAGATGGAGAGTTGACAAATGTGAGGAAGCTAGAAAGAGAAGAGAGTTGTGAAAGTTTGAGAGAACGGTAGAGAGAGATGTCCCCGAGAGTGAGGAAAAGAGAACATGGGGACAAAAGGGATAGGAGACCCACGTGGGTGGGTCCCACCACGCTTCCGTTGTGCCTAAGCATTCGTATCGTCAAGTACTTCGAGGTTACAGTAAAATAATAGTTCATACGCGTCCTGAAATAATGGTCAATGAAAGTCAACAATCTCACCTCTATTGGCATTTTCGTCAATTCACTCTTTTAAAATTAATTAAATCGTAAAATTAGGGACAAATTGTCACACACACCCTTCTAATTATCGGTCATTGGATCAAATGAATTGAAAATGATCAAAGGAAAAAAAACTAACAACACACCCTTCTAATTATCGGTCATTGGATCAAATGAATTGAAAATGATCAAAGGAAAAAAAAACTGACAATGGGTTTGAGAAGTAAAAATAGAACCTTTGGTACTCATCTAGACATGCAAAATTGTGACTGACCAATTTGTTTGGCTTATAGGCACATCATTTATTTAATGTGTCTTGCTTATAGGTATATTTATATTTTTTTACCTCTTGGTTAGTTTATATATGTCAGAAAGAGAGTTTATGGGCCTAGGAGGCATTTAAGGGAAGGGGTTCTCATTTTTTAAAAAGAAAATGATTAGTTGTGGGGCCCACACCACACCAAACTTCAACGATCCAAAATGTGTGTTGATGCACAAAATCGGCAAGGACTTTGGTACAACAGAAAGTGTTAAGTTTGTGATATTCGCTAGGTTGCTCTGGTCATTAGTG